CTCTTTTTTTCTTTTTCTTCAGTCTTTAGTACTTCGCAGTCCTTCATCTGATACTTAATGTATTTATGTTGAGTCATTTCTCTTGGGCTGGTGAACCAGAAGATCATGAAATGATTCTGCAGAGGCAGTTGTAGCATTACGTTTGGTTTCTTTTTTTATATATATCAGATAAGAGGCCTGCAATGGAAGTCCGTCCACCTCACATCCTCTGTGTGGTGATGGCAGTGGTATTTGCCTTCTTATCACTGGTACAACATTTGTTAGTTCACAAACCAGATTCCAAAGAACCCCAGTGCTTTTTGATGAACAGTGACTATAGTAGGAACAATGTTAGATTTTTACAGACAAATTTTGTTTCTATAAACCTTCCCTTTTTAATGCTTAGAAACTGCCACCTTAAAGACCAGACCTAAGTTAATACACATGTTTAGAACTAGGAATTTTGAATCTGTGTTAGGAAGGCAGAAGAAAACTGATTCAGTTCCGCTTAAGCCCCTACGTCACCCTCCAGAACCAGCGCTTCTGGTTGGACAGATCTCGGGAGTAAAAGCAGCACCTGCTAAGCCTGATGGCAGCAGTTTCCAGAAACCGCTCGCTTCCCCTGGATAACATCCAGCCTTCCTGCCACTCACTGCGGCTGTCTAGAAGGTCTCCTGGAGCCCAACGGCCTCAGAGACATCCGCTGCCAGCTGTGCTGTGCAGTGAAGACGGGCAGTGTGCAGGTGGTCTTCAGTAACAGCCCAACAGCAAGGTTTTTGCTCCTAGCTTTTAGTACATTTGATCATTGAAAATATTGGAAAAGTTACTGTTACTTACATCAGTATGTTTTTAAAATGTACTATAATTCTGTATCTTGTATATAAATAATACATATTGTTTATCTACTAAAATACCAATGACTTCCTTTTCTAGAGCAATAATGAAATTTCACAGTATGAAAATGGAAGAAATCAACAAGATTATTCGTGATCTTTGGCGAAGTACCTACCGTGGACAAGGTAATGAGCACATGGTCTTCCCGAATGCCTTTTCCAAAAGCCCCTTCTGTAGCTCCTCCCATGGGACCTCTCATCATCCGGGGATCCCTCCCTGTGCCCCTTTCTGAGTATCTCTTTGAAATTTTCTAAGAATTCTTATCTTGACAACATCTCTCAGCAGAAAGAAAATGCAAAGCTTTCTATTCCCAGAGCCTCACAGGACTTTCGTATTTGGCTGTGGTAGACTTGATGCTTGGCTGATTCTGTTGTAGCAGAGATGGGGTAAACCCAAATGCCGTTAAGAGGAGAGCCATCCAGAAGAAACCCTTCACAGGGAACCAAGAAAGACCATGTTGAGGCTGAGGCTTGCTTGGGGCATCTCAATCACTTCTGGCTGGACCACCAGGCCCCAGAGTCCTCCCAGTTGGGGAAATGGGTACCCCATAAATGTAGGTTGCTCAGAAATATTCTTCTTTCTGTGTCAGATATTGAATATATAGAAATTCGCTCTGATGCTGATGAAAACGTATCAGCTTCTGATAAAAGGCGGAATTACAACTACCGTGTGGTGATGCTGAAGGGAGACACGGCCTTGGATATGCGAGGACGATGCAGTGCCGGACAAAAGGCAGGTGCCTCAGGAACCTAGAGAGCCAGGCTGCACAGAGGACACCAGCGACAGACAGCTGGCAGTGCAGTGCGCGCGCACACACACCCCACCTAAGGCTACCCGTGAGTGGGACACCCCTGACAGCACCCTTGATGCGTGTAAAGTGAATCCGACTCAGCCACCATCGTTGTCAGTGGCTTCTTCAGTCGCATGTCAAGGGGGCTTCTAAGAGTAGGGCCTGGAACAGTGTCACAGGAGAGGCTAGATGAGGAACAGGAAGCCAACACCACCCTCCTCATCCAAGTACGCACACTATGTCATCACGTAGAAGATAGATCATTTTTTAATGTGCTACCAATAAAGAAAAAAAATGCAGTTGCACCTAGGATGCATCCTGATTTCAGTGGTCAAAGGGGGCAGGAGTGTGTTTCAGAAGCAGTGACATGACAAAACTAGCAAACCAGATCGTGGGTGGAGTCAGATGAGGCTTGGCCATTGGTCACAGAGCCTTGTTGACAAGATGGTGCCTCAGAGGCCAGACATCTGCCAGTCAGTGGCCTGGAGATTGCCCCAGGTCCCTCTGCCATCTACACATGTCTCCAAGTGGTACATGGGACATACATATTAGGACAAAGCTGTGCATGGATCAGCATTTTTGCACCAAAGTAAACTTATCAAGTACCCTGGTGCAAACAAACTCGGCTAGGTCAGGCCAGCTACTCTACAAGAGGCAAGGAGGCAAGTCAGGATGTGAGAAAAATGGGCCCAGCACCCTGCGGACAGGTGAGGGCCTTCTGCACCGAGGACGCTGCAGGGTAGCAGCAGGTCATCACCCTGGGGCTCTGAACGTCTTTCAGTCCTAAGACTGAGTATTCTCGGAGTTTCCAGTTTTTGCTTATGTTAGCCTAGACAGCCGATACAGACTTAAGACCTCTGCAGATTACTATCTAAATCCAGCTCTGCAAAAATGACACATTTGTCATCTATAATCAGTATTACTGCTTGCTTTGGTGATTTTTAGTGGTAATTATACATAGAAATACATAGTGTTTCAACATGAATTAAAAATACTTTCTGAGCGAAAGTAGATTTTCTGCCGCTTCTCCAAGGGAAGATTACCTCCTTGGCGTAGCGAGAGCACAGAGCATCCACCCTCCCTCTGCAGGTTTTTGTTGAAGCCCAAGCGGCCAGCCTGATGCTGCACACGTGATGGGTGGTGGGCGGGCTGGCAGTGGTGGGAGTCACAGGTAAGAAGGAAGTGTCTGTCATCCGAAGAGGCAACTGAGGCCCCTCCTTTTGTAATCTGGCCTGCCTGGGTGGCTGAGGCAAGTGTCTACTGTCTAGTCAGCAGCCCACTCCCTAGGGGAGAAAGGTAATCTGTCTGTAGTAGCTAGGGCAAGAATTTTTAAGATTGTTCATCGTAGACCCTTAATGAGATTAAGAGTTTCAGATAAATGGCCACACATCTGTATCAGGCCTCCAATTTCCAGTTTGTTAGAGTGGATGTGTTTGGGGTGTGTGATCAGCATCGTTAATGATGGGTGGAGAGAATGGAGTGATGGTTTCGCTCCTGGAGGGGCTACAGGGCCAGGTGCCCTAAAGGGCCAGTGATTCCCTACCATCAGTACCCTTGGGATATCACCCCGCTTTGAGAGGGATCGTGCCTGCAGCCGTGAGCAGGAGGCCTGGGGAGGGAGACGTCTCACTCGGCGTTTTTCCAGGTCTTAGCCTCCCTCATCATCCGCCTGGCCCTGGCTGAAACGTTCTGCCTCAACTGCGGCATCCTTGCTTTGGACGAGCCCACGACCAACCTTGACCGAGAGAACATTGAATCTCTGGCGCATGCTCTGGTGGAGTAAGTATCCCACGCTGGGGACAGGTTGTGATCGGTGCGTTCTGGGCTGGAGCCCCCCTAGACAGAGCCTTTGTGGGGAAGGCAGTTGGTGCCAGGCCCCGGGATTTTCCTTTCGACAGCAACTCTTCAGGTCCCTCAGAAAGGAGCGAGATGCCGGCCAGCGGCTGCAGACGCCATCTGCACTTTCCCGCGTTCTCACAAAGTCACAGCTCGTGGTTCCTGGATTGGCTTGGTTTTCCTGTAAACCCAGCAGAGGAACCGCACTGTCGTGAAGACATCCCTGGGTGGTCGCAGTGGGCTTGGGATGGTCTCCCCAGGTTTTCACATGTGACCAACCAGGAGGAGGACTGTGCTGGCAGGCACTTGCCCCCAGGTAGAAGACGGTGTCAGCTTGCTGTACCCCGTGTAACCTCAAGAGCATCCAGCGCCAAGCAAGGGATCAACAGTGGTTAAAAGAAAAATTCTTTCGGGTCAGCCTTGTCGCTGATTACTGAGCAAGAGTGCGCCCACTCCACCCACTCAGGGCCCCGTGTGTCACAGCAGTGATGCATCCAGCAACTGGTGATGGCAGAATTCTGAGTAGACCTGGCTCCTGAGAAGGCCGCGTTATTCCCCTTACCTGTAGTGTCTTGATTATTTGAAGACTTTTCTTCTAGAGAAAACGAGTAACAGGTCAGGGAAATCCCTGCTGAGGGAATGGTCAGGCGCCTCCCGAAGTGGAGCAGTTTAGGTGTCCAGGAAAACTAACAGTTCACCTGCTTCAGTCAGAAGAACCTTTGCCATCTAGTAGACTCGAGTGCGTGTGCCCTTACCTGCGCCTAAGCCAGGCATCAGGCCACGCCTGGAGAGGTGGAGGGCACTCCACCCTGGCTGAGCTAGAAGCCTGGGGCCACCCGGCCCTCCCTCCACTTCCTGTAGGGCGGCCTGAGGCACAGGAAAAGCTATAAGCATGAATTTATGTGTCTGGCAGGGTCTGCAATGGCTTTCTCAAATGAAATCCATTTGGTTAACAAAGTCTTGGTTAACAAAATATTCTACATTTTTTTTTTTCAGGATAATAAAAAGTCGCTCCCAGCAGCGTAACTTCCAGCTCCTGGTAATCACTCATGATGAAGATTTTGTGGAGCTTTTAGGACGCTCTGAATATGTGGAGAAGTTCTACAGGATCAAGAAGAACATCGATCAGTGCTCAGAGATCGTGAGGTACAACATGAACTCCCTGGGGTCGTACGTTCATTAAAATCACTTAAATGCCGAAGACCTTGTGTCCTCTGTCGGCTGAATCAATAATAAAATACATTCTGTACGAAGGTGCTTCTCACTGCTGTTAACAAGTTAGGACTTTGGTGTCAATCACTGGGAATTTACTCCCTCGCATGATTTTCTGAACAGCCGAGTTGGCAGTAGCTGAGGATGACTGGAACTGACACAGTTATAGCATCCGGCTCTGCCTCTGCTTTATACATCAGCAAGTGGCCTCCCTTTAGGCCTTGGTTTCCTAACTGCTATCTGAAGCAGCTGAGTGGGGTCTCGGGGTTTGACAGGAACCTTAGTACTCATCTAGGTTCAGGGTGGGGAAGGCCCTGGAAATCACTCAGTGAGCTCAAAATTCAGTAACTCCGTAGCAGGCTCATTTCTAAGTCAAGAATTTTATATTGGCCCATGAATGATGTATGAATTTCCACACAGCTCTTGGTAGAAAAAAGGTTCCCCACCCCAGTCAAATACCCATCACCTACCTCCTACACATCCCTTCAAGACAGGCATCCTGCCTTGGGCCTCTCGACTGAGGAACGCCCACACTGTGTATCCAACTCCCAAAAGTCTGGCCAAGTCCAAGGCTTCCTCTTCGCTTCCTGAACTGTGTCACGAAGTCTCCAGCCCCCCTCTGCATCCATCCTGTGTTCTGTGCAGGGCTCTGGTTGATCCGGATTCCGCTCCAAGGGGCGTTCACTGTGGAAGGTTCCTCAGAGTCAGGACTTGCTCCTACTAGGGTCCAACCTGACATGGACAGGGCAGGTGACGTGCTCACTACAGACCCGAATCCTATTAAAAGCGCAATCATACTTCCTGGAATTGCTAGCTGACATCAGATTCTGTGCACCTAAAATGATACCAGTTACGCGCTACCCTTGAGCGAATGGAGGAAAGTTGCTTCCGTCATATTCTGTGTGTTCAGTGGTTCCCATGAAGACGGCTGGATGAGAAGGATTGGTCCAGACCTCACCCAGCCCTGCACGAGGCCTGTGTTCCCACGCCGCCCCCTGCTTCCTGCCCACACCAAAGCCCTTCCCCTGACACTTCGAGCCTCACAAACTAAACTTTCACACTTACCGAACTTGCGCATCGAGAGAGGAACACGGCTCCATCTCGGAGCACTGGGCCATGGGTTCCCGAACTGAGCAAGAACGAGTCGATTCTAGTCAGATCCGATAGCAAACCTGCAAAGTAACCAACAGTAACCAAGGAGTTCCTCCCCCAGCAATGCAACAATGTCAGAAATTAATCTTTCTCAGTGGTCCTCAGACAGCCACGGGGCAGCTGAGACAAGGCAGCACCCCAAGCCCTGATGAATGCTTCATTTGGCAAAGAGTATTTAATTTTCTCCCCCTTTTTTCAAGATTATTTATTTGAGAGGTAGAGTTACAGGTATTGAGAGGGAGGGACAAAGAAAAAGCTCTTCCATCCGCTGGTTCACTCCCCAGATGGCTGCAGTGGCTGGAGCTGTGCCGATCTGAAGCCAGGAGCTTCTCTCAGGTCTCCTACGTGCTGGGCCCAAGCACTTGGGCCATCTTCTACTGCTTTCCCAGGTCACAGCAGAGATCTGGATCAGAAGAGGAGCAGCCGGGACTAGAACTTGTGCCCATATGGGATCTGGCGCTGCAGGTGGAGGATCAACCTACTGCGCCACAGCGCCAGCCCAGCAAAGAGTATTTTACTTTGTTATTTGTCATGACCTCAGAATGAAAGGTATCGGCCGGCGCCGCGGCTCACTAGGCCAATCCTCCACCTTGCAGCGCCAGCACACCGGGTTCTAGTCCCGGTCGGGGCGCCGGATTCTGTCCCGGTTGCCCCTCTTCCAGGCCAGCTCTCTGCTGTGGCCAGGGAGTGCAGTGGAGGATGGCCCAAGTCCTTGGGCCCTGCACTCCATGGGAGACCAGGAGAAATACCTGGCTCCTGCCATCGGATCAGCACGGTGTGCCGGCCACAGCGCGCCGGCCTCAGCTGCCATTGGAGGGTGAACCAACGGAAAAGGAAGACCTTTCTCTCTGTCTCTCTCTCTCTCACTGTCCACTGTCCACTCTGCCTGTCAAAAAAAAAAAAAAAAAAAAGAAAGAAAGGTATCTTAATAACAAAAAGCTAAACATCTCCCACTAAGGATTAAGACCAGATACCTGTGTCAGCATTTTTCCGAAAGCGCCGGTCACAGCAACAGGAACAACAACAAAGGCAACGCGGCACACAGGCAGTGAAGAAACAGGGCTTGCCAGCTGCAGACTCGCTTCCCCTGCACAATGCAGCCCTCTGGGGAGAGGCCGCTGGCAGCCCCAGCCCCGCAGTTCCGTGGGCGGGGAGGGGGACATGGCTGCTTCTAGATCGTTCTCCGTAGGATGCCTCCCCCCACACACTTGGCACAGCCAGCCAGCATCGCGGTGTGAAGGTTAGGAAGGAACCAGAATGCTGGGCTCGTGTCCTGGCGCCACCGCTCAAAGCTGTGAGGCCTGGGACAGGTTAGCAGCTTTTGCTCTGTGTCTGAAAAAGTAGGAAACATGATCCTGCCGTGGCGGGCTGCTCCGGAGATGAAACGGCCTGTTTGTAAACTGCTTACAACCGCTTGCCACACAGCAAATACCGGTGTTCCAGAAAAACCTCCTCGCTGTCTCCTGTGCCCCCGGCCTGTCCACTCGCCCTCCCTGAGGACTTCAGGGCTCAGTCCCGCGTCCCCCCAGGGCCCATCTCACACCTGTGGCTGAGAAGCCCGGCCTCGGCCCCCTGCTCTTCAGCGCAGACTCCACGGTTTCACTCTAGAGCCCAGGCCCTCCAATGACGATGTCGCAGGCACCGTCACCCGGCGCTAAGCTGCTCTTCACCAGCACTTCCACCAGCGGTTCCAATCCACGGATTCTACCAATTTGTCCCACTTCTTCCCCAGTCCACTCCTCTCCCCCAGGGCTTACATTCCGCACCCTGTCACAGTGTCGCCTTCCGCACACTGCCCTCCCCTGCCCTCACATGTGCCTGGCAGCCCCCAGTCCTGCCTGAGGCGCCCAAGTCCAGCTCTGCGCGCACACACACACACACATACACACACACACATATACACCAGTCCCAGTCCTGCCTGAGGCGCCCAAGTCCAGCTCTGCGCGCGCACACACTCGTGCACACACACCTCAGGCGCTCCCTCGGCTGCTCCCTTGTCCCCCTCCCCTGCTGGCGCGGCGGTGGGCGTCAGGATCAGGAGGAGGCTGCGCCCGGCTCTGCATCTGCTCACTCTGTGACCCAGCTTCACACTTCCTGTCCTAATGCGGGTTCTCCAGGAGCAGAACCCAGAACGACACTGAAGTAAAAACGGCCGGGAGGCCGGAGGGATGGTACGGGGAAGAGGTCAGCGCGGACAGGCGTGCTGTGAAGCAGGTACCCAGTGGGTGACCAGTTAACCCCTCAGGGGGACTGGGGGATCTGGCTAACTCTGCCTCAGGACCCCCCCCCCCCGCCCGGGGGTGTCTATATACCGCCCTCCTGTGTTCTAGAACACACCCGCAGAGCTGCGTCCCGAACTGTCACTAGAAGACGAGAGAAACCTTCAGCGGAGACACCCAGGAGGGCAGCCCTGGCTGAAGGCGGGCACACCGGAAGTCCTGGAGCTCCTGGGTCAGCCGTGTGTGGGCCGTCGGTCTCCCTGCCAGCTCTCTGCTGCGTCGGACCCACGAATAGCTGCCCTCTGTCCACACTGTAACTTGGAAATGAAACCCGAGAGGACCACGACCACCTTCCGGGCAGAACCTGCACCTCTCAGAGGCGTTCCGCTAACGGCGGCTACCTTCTGATGCTTCCCAGTTCAAAACTCTTGGTGTCTTCCCTGCCTCTCCGGTTTATCTCACTTCCCATTTCCAGTCCATGAGCTTAGGACTATGGGCTCAACGTTGACAATACAGCCGGAGTCGGGTCCTGCCTCCCCAGATAAACCCCCACCGCAGGAAGCATCTGCTCTCAGCGTGGGGTCTGGCTCCCCTCGGTTTGTTCCCAGCACAGCAGCCACTGAGCTTTCTCATGGAGGGGTGTTTTCGTTCTATCCGGACACTGAAGTCCGACAGACAGACATAAACTGTATACACGAAGAACGGCTGGAGAAACGCCTGCCCATCAGGAAAGGGGAAAGGCGACACGCAGAACCCTGTGCTGTTCTGACCAAATGCAAAGCATCCAGGGGCCAGCGCTGTGGCAGAGCGGGTAAGGCCGCCACCTTGCAGAGCCGGCATCCCATGTGGGCGCCGGGTTCAAGTCCTGGCTGCTCCACTTCCGATCCAGCTCTCTGCGATGGCCTGGGAAAGCAGTAGAAGATGCCCCAAGACCCTGGGCCCCTGCAGCTGCATGGGAGACCCAGAGAGGAGGCTCCTGGCTGCTGGCTCCTGGCTTCTGATCGCACAGCTCCGGCCACTGGGGCCAACTGGGGAGTGAACCAGATGGAAAACCTTTCTCTCTGCCTCTCCTTCTCTCTGAGTTTCAAATAAATAAATATTCTTTAAAAAAAATTGAAAGCATCCCTATAAACTTAGCGTTTTCATATATAAAGCAGTTCTACTTCTCTAAGGGTGAAGACCACCAAAATTCTCCTTTAAAATCAACACTGGCAGAAATGGTCAAAATCAACTTTTTCGGCAATTTAGTAAAGGCTCACACTGACTCCCAGCCAGCGGCATTTCAACCTGCCCTCACCTCACTGCCCCTTCCTGGCTCCGTGGTAGGCTCCTGACTAGAGCGTCTGGGAAAGCAGCAGCCACGGGAGGGGAAGAATGGGCTCGGCGCTCCCCGGGTCTCATCCCGGAGAACTGCCATTCTTCCGCTCCTCTGACAGCTGCCTGGAAAGCTCCATTCTTGGAGCCTAGTCTTCCCTAACCTCACGTACAACTCTGCTAACTGCGCTACCTGCAAGGCAGCTGGCTCAGGCTGCGCTGTGCTGTCTCGGGCACCGTCTCCAGCTGGGGCTGACAAGCGGCTGACCCGACGCTTCAAAGGAAGAGCTGCGGAACACGTCCCTGGGAGCCTGACCAGGCTCCTGCAAACTCCTGGGAGTCTGGGAGAGCACGAGCAGCTGCAGGGACTAGAGGGAGCCCAAAGCTCTCACCTCTGCCAACCGGGAGACCCTCCTGGTGCAGGAAGCAGAGGTTACAGTGTAGCTGTAAACCGCCTGCTGAGGCATGCAGACAGCCCAGCCAGCATACCCACACCACATGTGTGTGCAAACTTTAAAAAAAAAAAAAAAAAAAAACTACTGGTTCAAGACATGAAATCTGTGTATCCTTATTAGCTTAATACTAAGCTGAAACTTCACTGAACCAAATGTGACAAAGCAGAGTTTGTCCAAAAGTCACAAAACAAACTAGCATCAAGAGTTACAAGCCCGAGGGAAGAAGTCTTCTATTTTCCGAACTGACTTACTGTTTAAAATACCCTGTTTCCTGGGCTGGTGCTGTGGTAGAACAGGCAAAGCCGCTGCCTGCAGTGCCAGCATCCCACATGAACACCGGTTCAAGTCCCGGCTGCTGCACTTCCGATCCATCTCTCTGCTATGGCCTGGGAAAGCAGTGTAGGTGGGCCCCTGCACCCACGTGGGAGACCCGGAAGAAGCTCCTGGCTCCTGGCTTCGGATCCGCACAGCTCTGGCTATTATGCCATTTGGGGAGTGAACCAGAAGATAAAAGATTGATCAACTGATCGATCGATCAATCGATCGATCTCTCTCTCTCTCTGTGTCTGCCTCTCTGTAACTCTGCCTTTCAAATTAATTAATTTTATTTTGACAGGCAGAGTGGACAGTGAGAGAGAGAGAGAGAGAGAGAGAGAGAGAGAGAAAGGTCTTCCTTTGCCGTTGGTTCACCCTCCAATGGCCGCCGCAGCCGGCGCGCTACGGCCGGCACACCGTGCTGATCCGATGGCAGGAGCCAGGTGCTTTTCCTGGTCTCCCATGGGGTGCAGGGCCCAAGGACTTGGGCCATCCTCCACTGCACTCCCTGGCCACAGCAGAGAGCTGGCCTGGAAAAGGGGCAACCGGGACAGAATCCGGCGCCCCGACTGGGACTAGAACCTGGTGTGCTGGCACCGCAAGGTGGAGGATTAGCCTAGTGAGCTGCGGCACCGGCCTAATTAATTTTTTTTAAAAAAATCCTGTTTTCAAAAAGAAATTACAAGACATGCAAAAGAACATGAAAATATGGCCCATACAAAATAAAAATTCAGTCAATAGAAATTGCTGAGGAGGCCCAAATATTAGACTTCCTAGGGGAAGACGTTAAATATCAGCTATAATAACTGTGTTTGATAGGAACTAAAGGAAATCATGTCTAAAGAATTGAAGCAAAGTACAAGAGGGGCTGTCACTGTGGTGCTGTGGGTAAATCCCATGTGGGTGCTGGTTTGAGTCCCGGCTGTTCCACTTCTGATCCAGCTGCCTGCTAATTTGCCTGGGATAGCAGCAGAAGATGGCCTGGGTGCTTGGGCCCCTGCACCCAGGTGGCAGACTAGGAAGAAGCTCCTGACTCCCGGCTTCCGCCTGGCAAAGCCCCGGCTGCTGCGGCCATTTGGAGAGTGAACCAGCGAATGCAAGACCAACCGACTTACCTACCTACCTACCTGCCTCTCTCTCCCTCTCTCTAACTCTGCCTTTCAAATAAATAAATAAATATTCAAAAAAAAAAAAGTACAAGAATGATGTATCACCAAAAAGAGACTATCACTCAGGAGATAGAAATTATGGCCAAAAACCAAACTGAGATTCTGGAGTTGAAAAAAACCAATAGTAGGTAAAGTAAAAATTGTCCTGAGGAGCTCAAAGGGCATCTGAATTGCAGAAGAGTCCGTGAACTTGCGGACAGGTCAGTCAGGGGGCTCCAGCCTGATGAATGAAAGGGGAATGCAGGAGAACCAAGGGCTCTCCAGAGACGTCCGAGTCCCCAGCCGCACACGCCGACCGCAACCAGAGCCCAGCAACGAGCAAAGGCAGGGGCAGGAGGAATACCTGCAGAATATTCTTACGCTTCTCTGGTTATGAAAACATTAATCTTCCTATTTAAGAAACTGGATGATCTCTAAGGGGGATACACTCAAAGACATCCACGGTCAAGTTGTCAAAAACGTAGACACCTTGACAATAACAAAAGAAAGGAGCAAGAGACCCTCAATAAGTTATCAACTGACTTCTCATCAGAAACAGTGGAGGCCTGAGAGCAGGGAGGTGACGCAGGCATTACAGGGCTGAATCAGACTGTCGCTCACTTCCGTGTCCAGCAAAACCATCATTCAAAAAAAAAAAAAAAAAATTTCCCAAGGAAGCAAAAATTCAGGTAATTTGTCTCCAGCATACTTGCCTTATAAGAAATATGGAGGAAATTCAAAAAGTTCATGGAGATGGAATTAAAAGATAATAATGCATGCAAAGTTTTTTCATAATACACATTTTCCATGAACTTTTTCAAGGCTCATCATATGCACAGACTTCAAAACTGGTAGGTTTTTTAACTTTTAAAAAAATTGTTTATTTGAAATGCAGAGTTGAATCAGAGAGTCTTCCATCTGGGGGCTCACTCCCCAAATGGCCACAATGGCTGTAGCTGGGCCGATCCAAAGCCAGGAGTCAGGAGCTTCCTCCGGGTCTCCCACATGGGTACGGGAGCCCTAGAACTTGGGCCATCTTTCACAGCTTTCCCAAACCATAGCAGAGAGCTGGATCGGAAGTGGAGCAGCCGGGACTCGAACCAGCGGCCACATGTGATGCCGGGATTTGCAGGCAGTGGCTTTACCCACTATGTCGCAGCACCAGCCCCCAAAACTTTTTGCACCAAAATAAACTCATCTTCTAACTTCATTTTCCACAAACTTTTTGAAGTATCTTGAATAAAGGGAGATCTTTTAGGATGCAATGAAAGGAAAACTGGACTAAAATCCACTTGAGGAAATAAGCAGCCCCACTACAGGGAAACACACAGGGAGCATGAGAGCAGAGCTGCGTCTGGTCTGTAACTCTCTGCCCATGTGCTGTGAACGGGTTTGGGGATAACTGTAATACTATGTAGGTGGACTTGCGATATAGAGTAAGATGCATTCACGTGAAAAGCACACTCTTTCCTGTTTGTATAATACGGTTGCTGTCGCTGTCGTTAGGAAGGGGAGAAACAGACCCATACGGAAGCTTTGAAGTAGAAATTATATTGCTATTTATCTGTAATGTTAGTTTGTAATCCAGAACCTCTGTTAAAAGAAACAAGGACATTAAGATGGTGTAACAGAATATCTCTAATACAGGAGCAAACCACTCGGGGCAGGCGTGGGGTGAAAGCCACTCTGAGACAGAAGACAACAGCTGCATGACGGACATGAACCCTGCATATCACTGATGACACCGAGTACAAGCAGACTAACGAACAACAGGAGTTGGCGGGCCGGATTTCACAAACACCATCCGACTAGTACCATTCCACATATCCAGGGGGGCTTGGTCCAGAATCCACAGATGTTCCAGTCCCTTATATAAAATGGCACATTTGCACACTACGCATGCAGATGGTCTGATGTAACTCAAGCCGTCTCTACATTACGTACAGTACCGAGTCCAGTGTAAATTCTAGGAAGACGGCAGTCCTACTCCACTCTGTAGGCAACCGTGACAAGAAAAATGTCTGCATGTGTTCTGTACAGACAGTATGTTTTTCCAAATATTTTGTATTTGTAGCTGATTGAATCCATGGATACAGAGCCATAAATGTGGAGGAAAACTGTATATGCTGGCTATAAGAGACAATTCAAAGTGATATAAAGGTTGAAAATAAAAGGACAGCAGATCAAATACCAAAGCTGTACCCTCAAGAGAGCTGGAGGAGCTGCACCATAGATTGTAACACTAAGATTCTTGCTAGAGACAGAAAAATACATTTTGCAAAGAAGAAAAGGTGGGTCCATCACAAAGACATACAATCATAAACACATATTCACCTAACAAAGGCCATACAGATGCAAATAATATGAAGCAAAACAGAATTTGAGGCAGACACAGGCCACTCGCCAGGAAGAATCCGGGGGGAGGTTTCAATGCCCCACTTCAGATAATGGATAGATAAAGTGGGATGAGAAAGATGCCATTACTACCAACCCTACTAATTTTGAAAAAGATCGATCACTCCTGCATACGTAATACCATTTTGGTCAATGAAGGAATGCATACATAACAGAGGTCCCGTGAGACCACAACGGAGCTGAGCAATTCCTGTCTGGCATTTCACTGGACCTCTTCTATGTTTCAACATGCAAATACCGTTCTGTCCCAGCTGCCTGTCACATTCGGCACAGTAACACACTGTGTGTTTGCGGCCTCAGAGTGTAGCAGACTATACTGCCCAGCTGTGCCCAAGGACACTGTGATGTTTGCATGAAAATGAAACCCCCCTGGGGCCGGTGCTGTGGCGTAGCTGGTAAAGCTGCCACCTGCAGCACCGGCATCCCATATGGGTCCCACTTCGAGTCCCAGCTGCTCCACTTCTAATCCAGCTCCCTGCTAATGTACCTGGAAGTCTCCAACGCAGGAGACCTGGAAGAAGCTCCTGGTTCCCGATCGGCCTAGCTCCAGCCGTTGCAAGCATTTAGGTATTGAACCAACAGAAGAAAGATGTCTCTCTCTGTGCCTCTCTCTCTCACACTCTGCCTTTCAAATAAAATAAATAAATCTTAAAACAAAACAAAAGAATGAAATCACCCTGTGTCGTGTTCCTCAGATTGCAGCCCCATCATTCGGGGACACTGAGTGTATCGGGAACTCTGCAGCTGTAGGCCAACAAGTAAGATACCCTGGATGAAATTAACAAATCCCTAGATAGGTGCAAGCTACCCAAGTTGGCCTGAGAAGAACCCACAAATCTGAAGACTCAGAACAAGTAAAGTTATTAAAACAACTTTAATCATTAAGATGATTAAAAAACCAAAAGCTTTGAGAAAAAAAAAGTGCAGGCCCAGTGGTTTTACTGGTGATTTCTAGCAAATGTTTAAAAATAATACCAATCCTTTTCAAACTCTTCCAGGAAATAGAAAAGGAGGGAATATTGCCCAACTGGTTCTATGAGGTCAATATTACACTGATAACAAAACCAGACAGGAAAGGAAACCACAGAGCAACACACCTTGTGAAAGTAGATGCTGGGCCGATGCTGTAGTGTAGCAGATGAAGCCACCGTCTGCAGTGCCGGCATCCCATATGGATGCCGCTTCGAGTCCCGGCTGCTCCACTTCCGATCCAGCTCTCTGCTATGGCCTGGGAAAGCAGCAGCAGATGGCCCAAGTCCTTGGGCCCTTGCACCCACATGGGAGACCCAGAAGAAGCTCCTGGCTCCTGGCTTTGGATCAGCGCAGCTCCAGCCGTTGTGGCCATCTGGGGAGTGAATCAGCGGATGGAAGACCTCTCTCTCTCTGCCTCTGTCTCTCTGTAACTCTGCCTTTAAAATAAATATATATTTAGAAAAAGAAAACAAAGTAGATGCTAAAAGTCCTCAACAAAATACCAGGAAAGTGATTCTATACAGAAAGCATTATACACCCAAACCGTAGGCAATAAACTACAGGTAAACTGGACTACACACACATTAAAAACTGTGCATCAGGCTGGCGCCGCAGCTCAATAGGCTAATCCTCCACCTAGCGGCGCCGGCACACCAGGTTCTAGTCCCGGTCGGGGCGCCAGATTCTTTCCCGGTTGCCCCTCTTCCAGGCCAGCTCTCTGCTGTGGCCCAGAAAGGCAGTGGAGGATGGCCCAAGTCCTTGGGCCTGCACCCCATGGGAGACCAGGAGAAGCACCTGGCTCCTGGCTTCGGATCAGCACGATGCGCCGGCTGCAGCGCGCCAGCCGTGGCAGCCATTGGAGGGTGAACCAATGGCAAAAGGAAGACCTTTCTCTCTGTCTCTCTCTCTCACTATCCACTCTGCCTGTCAAAAAAAAAAAAAAACAAAACAAAAACAAAAACAAAAACAAAAACAAAACAAACAAAAAAAACCACTGTGCATCAAGGGGCTGGCGTTGTGGCTCAGTGGGTTAACGCCCTGGCATGAGGCACCAGCATCCCATTTGGGCACCGGTTCGAGACCCGGCTGCTCCACTTCTGATCCAGCTCTCTGCTATGGCCTGGGAAAGCAGCAGAAGATGGCCCAAGTCCTTGGGCCCCTGCACCTGCGTGGGAGACCTAGAGGAAGCTCCTGGGTCCGGATCAGTGCAGCTCTGGCTGTTGTGGCTAATTGGAGAGTGAACCATCGGATGGAAGACCTCTCTCTCTCTCTCTCTCTGCCTCTCCTCTCTCTGTGTAACTGACTTTAAAATAAATAAATAAATCTTAAAAAAAAAATACAAAACTGTGCATCAAAGCAATCAGCAGAGTAGAAAGGCATCTGCAAGGATGGGGTAAAATTCTGAGACAGAGTTAATACACACAATATATAAAGAACAGTTACAACACAACAAAAATGATTTAAAACCCACAAAGGACTGGAGCAGGCATTTCCTCGGAGATGATGATGCTGGTCACGAATGGACAGTAAGCACTTGAAGAGCTGTTCCACACCACTGAAGATAAGGAAATGCAACTCAAACCCACAGCGAGCTACGACCTCCTACTCACTCGGACGGCCACCATCAGAACCAGAGAAGAGTACTGGTGAGAACACGGAACGCTGGAATCCTTGTACACCACTGGAATGTACTACAATGCTGGCTCCTCCAAAAAAAGTAGGAATACAGAACTCTTTAGAGTAAAATGATCCACTTCTGGAGTGTACCCAGAAGAGGTGAAAGCAAGTCTCGAAGGTATTTCTAGACCTCCGTTCACAGCAGTGCTGTTCACAACAGCGCAGAGGGGGAGCCAGGCCAACACCTGTCAGTTCCTCCTTGGATAAACTTGCACACTGTGTATCGTGTATGCTTACAATGGATATTAGTCAGCTTTAAAAAGGAAGGAAATTGGCCGGCGCCACGGCTCACTAGGCTAATCCTCCGCGTGTGGCGCTGGCACCCCGGTTTCTAGTCCCAGTTGCCCCTCTTCCAGTCCAGCTCTCTGCTGTGGCCCAGGAGTGCAGTGGAGGATGGCCCAGGTTCTTAGGCCCTGCACCCACATGGGAGACCAGGAGAGCCATCTGGCTCCTGGCTTCGGATTGGCGCGCTGTGCCAGCTGCAGCGTGCCACCAGAGTGGCCATTGAGGGGTAAACCAACAGAAAAGGAAGACCTTTCTCTCTGTCTCTCTCTCTCACTGTCCACTCTGCCTGTCAAAAAAAAAAAAAAAAGGAAATTCTATTACATGCTACAACATGGGTGAACCTTAAGAATATCATGCTAAGTGAAAGCCTGTCACACACACACACACACAAAAAAAAAGACAGTCACCACCTACAGTATCAGATTCACAGAAAGTAGAAGGACGTTCCCTGGGGAGGGGGCGGGGAGAGTGGTAAGGAGGCTCTGTTCTGCGAGACGCAGAGTTCCAGAGATTGGCTGCACACCAGTGTGCACGGACTGAACACTGCCGACGGTACACTCAGAACTGACTACAGTGTGTGTGCATTCTTGTGGTGAAAAAGACAGAGACCGAAACAGAAACACATCCATGTACACGCACACGGGAGTCTAGCTCTGTCTACCAAGAAGGCCCTCAGGCAATGGCAGCCCAGAGTAATGGGCAAGCCCATTTGAATACCCTCCCCACTGAATGGAGCCCTGACTCCTGGGAGAAACACTTGGTTCCATGGCTGAGGGTGAAATACAAACTCAGTCTAGAACAACCTGTGGCACTCAAAAGTAGGAAAACATTCAAAACAAAGGACCCAGGGCCTGGCCTGACTGCAGCCCTGATGGCCAAAGGCTGATCAACGTGAGAAACAGCACAAGGACAGCACCTGGCTGGAACCTGCACAGTCAGTAGTCCTGAGCCCACACGGACATCAACAGGTATCTAAATGAGCAGAGACGAGGCTAGCTCTGCTTCACAGGGACTGAGCATCCCTAATCTCAAAGTCCTGAGACATCTCGAGCACCACTGTGCTGCCCCAAGCGGGCAAGTTCACGCCTGACCTCACACGCAGACAGCAATCAAAACACAGGTGCAGTAAAAATACTGTATGCAATTACTGCCCACAATAAAATAAAATAAAATAATCCAAGACTTTCCTCTCTGTCTCTCTCACTCACTATCTGTGACTCTGCCTGTCAAATAAATAAGTAAAAAAAAAATATGGGCACAAATCTGAGGAGAGACAATGCACGTGCTGTCCAACTGTCCTGTCCAACACACTCGTCACCTAAGAGGAAAACTGTCAGCCACGTGGTCCACATCACGAGCCCGACTCGCCCACAGAGGAACCTCGTGCCCGGGGCGCTCTTGCCAAACTGCAGGAGCTCAATGGAAGAGCAGACAGCGGCGGGGAGCCTGCGGGGGTTCCAGAGCGCAGAAGAGCGCAGAGTGGAGAGGGCAGCCCCTGGGGAGACTTCCCCAGCAAAATCAAACTGCGGCAGCATGGTGGCCCGGCCTCTGGAGGCTCACACAGCGAGCCACGACGGCCCGGTGACGTGACCGAGAACACGGGAGACAGCGAACTGAGAAACAAGCCTATCGTTAACTGCAGAGGGGAGAAGCTTCAAGGGAAAATAAAAGGAGCCCTAGCCAGGCCTGCTTCAGCCGTGACCACGGCAGAGCGGTTACGTAAGCGGAGAGCAGGGCTTCAGGCAGACCCAAACGCGAGCTATGCTGGCAGAGAGAAGAGGAGGAGGACGTCGGTGGAGAAAGGCTGACAAAGAGCAATCAGCACAAGTATCCCTCGGGGGCCACTGACTATCCCTTCGCCAGAACATCACCAAGTAGCAGCCTCGGTTTCATGCGGCGAACAGAAAAGCGTAAGCAGCAGGTGCACCGGCTCCAAGAGCTCCCGGGCCCAGCCCTGTGGTGCAGCAGGTTGAGTGGCTGCGTGGGGCAGGGCATCCCACAGGGGAGGGCCTGTTTGCATCCTGGCCACTCCACTACATTATTCTTGGACTACAGAGCTGAGAGGCTGGAGTAGGACTTGGGTGGAGAGACATTTCATGAGAAATCAGTTCACCGAGAGAACACAATTATCAACACAGAGCTTTGAGCTGTGCATCGGGGCACAGAGGACAAAGCACTGCTTAGGACGACCATACCCCATGCGAGAGTGCCGGGGGTTCCGGTCCCACCTCAGCCTCCAGTCGGCTTCCTGCTAATGGGCACCCTGGGAGACGGTGGCTCAAGTGCTTGGGCTCTGCCACTCGTGTGGGAGACTTGGACGGAGTTCTGGGCTCCTGGCTTCAGCCTGGCCCAGAGCCCTAGCCACTGTGGCCATTCGAGGAGTGAACCAGCAGATGGACAATCAGTCTCACTCTTTCTTTCTCACATTTTGCCTTTCAAGTAGATAAAAATAAAAAAAAACAACTCCAAAAAAGAGTGGCTCCTCTGGAGAAGAAGCTAAAGCAGCTGAAGGATCCGAGACGGTGCCCCCTGGCCACCCGGCACGGGACGCAGGCAGTGCGGGAAGAGAGACAAATGCTGGCCAGGCACAGAAGCAGGGGCACGTGACCGACGCTTCCACTCCTGCCTGGCCGATCCCAGTTCCCACAGCGCCGAGTGATGGGAGCCCCAGGCCCCGCACACAGTGGCTGCACTGCGGGACGGGGAGCCTCGGCTGAGAGAAGCCAGCTTCTTTTCTATAAAGGACTGCAAGCCGCCTGCTCCCGGACAGAATGCTCTCTCCCAGGGCCCCGTGCAGTCCGAGGACACGGATGCTCTGGACACGTGGGGACACAGGTAGGCTGTGCCTCCCTCACAAAACAGCACCACAAGGCACCCGTAGCAAACTGATTTTTTCCTAACCAACTTTCTTGAATTATTTCATTTTAAAAATCACCTGCAGGGGTAGCTTTCCTAAAACTGAAAGCTTAGGAAATTACACCGTCCTGTACTAGAACACCTCACTCCTGCCTGGCCCAGGGAAGCCCGGAGTCCGAGAATGTCGCAAAAGCCAGCGCCAGCTGTCCGGCCTCAGTGCAGGCCTGGCGCCAGGAAGGGCAGTGCTGGATGGACGGCTGCGGGGCGGGCGAACGCCCCTCACCCCGCCCCCAGCCGCAGGGACCCACCTCTGCGAGAGCTCCCGCTTGTGACAGCAGGTGGGGGAGACATGCCGGCCGCTTGTGCCAAGCGCTCAGAGCTTTAACAGCGCCAGGGGAGAGCTTGGAGCCCTGCTCGCAGCCAAGGAGAAAGTGATGGGGTGCCCCTGCCAGAGCGGGTGGCGTTGGCGCCTGTGAATCCCGGACCCTGGGCGGCCGCAGGGCGGGGAGAGGGCGGGATCGTCGGCCTTGTACGCGGGGACGCGCGCGCAGCCTGTAGGGCCCGCCGGTGCGCACAGGTGCTGGGGGCCCCGCTGGCCCCTGCCCTGCCTAGGGCCGGCCGCCGACCACTTCCACCTTCCCGCCCCCTCGTAGCTTCCCGGAGAAGCCGGTCTACACCGAGACAGCAGAGGAGGGCGAGCCGCACGGAGCCCGCTTATCTGCCCATCGCCCCTTACATAACGCAGAGCCCCTATCTCCCGGGGCCATCGCCCTGCTCCCACGCGCGGGCCCCAGTTCCCCGCAAGCCTTGTGCTGGTCATGGGGAGCAGAGGGACGCTGACTCATCGCCACGCGGGGCTCCGGGACTTGCACAGCAAGTGGTTCCCACTCCTTTCCACCCCCCGCACCGAGCCCCATGGGAGACCCCACTCTGCGGAGGAGGAAACCGAGGCCCGGGAGAGGGGAAGGGGCGGTCACACAGCCAGACATGCGGGCCACCGCGGGTGGGGATGGCTTCCCAGCGTCTGGACCTACGGGCTCCTGCTGCGAACAACCAACCGTGGGCTGTGGATGAAGTGGCATCCTGGCAGGGAGAGAGGCGGGCAAGCCGGGAGGCTTGTGAGCAGCAGTGAGGGCCCAGCGCCCTGTGGAAAAGCCTTAGCCAGAGCTTGCGTCTCACTGAGGGGAGGATGGAGGGAGGCTGAGCAGGCAGAGGAGGTCCTGGGGAGACCCTGGGCTGGGGAGGAAGTGGGTAGGTAAGATCCTGACATCAGCACCCAGCAGGCAAACGCTGCGCCCTCTCTGGCTGCTTCTACAGCTCCTGGGGCAATGAGGGAAAAGCAGAGGACACAGAACAGCACTCCCCAGCACTGCTGCATCCTGCTCAGGGGACACTAGGGGCCCCAGGGGGCAGGAGCTGGTCCCTTGAGACTGACGGGCAAGGGCAAAGGTGGCGGCTGCTGCCTCAGTGGCCTGGAACAGTCACACACTGGCACCTGGGCTCAGGCAGGGCAGTCTCTGGCTAGCCGCCCAGTAAGCATTTCCTGGCAGGACGGCCGAGGGCTGAAGGCCTGGGCAGGAACCCCAGCTGTCCAGGCTGCGCCGACTCAGGGTTCCATCAAGGCAATTGTGCAACCTGGGGTTCCTGGAGGAGCCCTGGTCTGGCTGGGTCTTCCACCTGACATCCGAACATCTGAACGGTTAGCATCTTTCCCACCGGGCCAACAGGGAGGAACTGGGTGGGCCAACAGCCGGGCTTGGCACTGTTCTTTTATCCTGCTCGACTTTCATATCTAAACCAAGTATGACCTTGGTAATCTAAGAAACTGGTTCACTGTGGGCTGGCGCTGTTGCGCACTATGTTAATCCTCCACCTGCGGCACCGGCATCTCATATGAGCACTGGGTTCTAGTCCCGGCTGCTCCTCTTCCAGTCCAGCTCTCTGCTGTGGCCTGGGAAAGCAGCAGCAGATGGCCCAGGAGCTTGGGCCCCTGCACCCGCATGGCAGACCAGGAAGGGGCACCTTGCTCCTGGCTTCAGATCGGCGCAGCGCCGGCTGTTGCAGCCATTTGGGGAGTGAACCAATGGAAGGAAGACCCTTCTCTCTGTCTCTCTCACTGTCTGTAATTCTACCTGTCAAATAAATAAATAAAATCTTAAAAAAAAAAAGAAAGAAAGAAAAACCGGTTCACTGGCTAAACCTCCCCCATTCCTACAGCTGGTAGACTGCGGTCACCCACCACCGAGACTCCATGCATGTCCAGTGAAGGAAGGGGTCAGAGGACAGGTGCTCAGCGTGGTCACCAGGTAGCCATGGCAAGTGTGGGCCCCCTCACCTACTCCTGGAAGCAAGCCCAGCCAGATCTTGGAAACTATGCATGAGACCCTTCTCAATAAGTCCATGCGAAATCAAACTCTTTCCTTTATACATGCTGGATTTTCCACAAAGTCAAAAAAAGATGAGTAAAGATGTGGTTTATAGATATGTCTGCCAGCGGAGACCAGGGTGCTGGGGCGTCACCACTCGGGCCTATAAAAGCTGCCACAGGAGGCCAGGGCCACAGTCGCTCAGCTGGGCCAGCCCGCACGCCTGCTCCCGATCCTCCTCTGCTGCTCTGGGCTCCATGGCGCTCTGGTGGGCTGTGGCCATTGCTGTGACCTGCCTTGGCAGCCTCGTATCCCCAGGCCCTGTGCCTCCCCCCACATCCCTCAAGGAGCTCATCGAGGAGCTGGTCAACATCACACACAACCAGAAGGTAAGCACCGGCTGGCCAGGGTCCCAGTTGCAAGGGTCCTGGGTGGGTGGCCCTCAGGGAGGTCATGAGTGGACTGGGCCTGGGAGTCAGGAAGAAGCCCCAAGGACAAGGGGGCGGGCCCAGCCATGGCAAAGCAACAGGCACCGGGCTATGGAGGACAGAAATGTGGATAAACCATGAAGGGGCCCAGCAGTGCCCCCAGGGACCACCTGTCCCCTGGCCTGGCCCCACCTGCACCTCCAGTGCATCCTTGGCCATTGCTAATGAGAAGAAAGCTAATGGGTCAGAACACCCCCAGATCTGCCTGGCATTTGCCACTGACCTGGCCACTGTCCACAACAGCTTGGCTGAGCCCATTCCACCACAGAATTCGACGTGGGCTCAGCTCCCGTCCCCACTGGCAACAGCTCACTCTGGGCAGGGGGAGGCGCCAGGCTCACGCTGGGCGCTTCACGTGTCACTTCCTTGCTGCCTCACCTCCAGCAGTAGGGACAATGACCCATCTTGCTGACTAAGACTTCGTAAGATGGACAGAGGCCAGATTCAAACCAGGCCTGGACAACCCCACAGCGCCCATGCTCCTAATGGCGTGGCATCCCCCACCTCGGAAGGCAGGACCAGACCCTGACCTCTACCACCTGCTGTCTCATTTGTCCTGGTCAACGGCAGCCCAGGCCACCCCTCACTCCTGCCTTCCTGCCCCGGCTCTGCCTCAGCCCTTACCAGCTGGGTCCCAGTCCGTCTCTCTCAGCCCCAAGCCCCAGGCAGATGAGCACAGTGCGAGTGCTCCTGCAGGGATGCTGAGGGGCCCCTCTGTCTCCTCAGGCTCCACTCTGCAATGGCACCATGGTGTGGAGCGTCAACCTGACAGGCAGCGTGGTAAGGACCCATGGACAGCGTGAGGGAGGGAGGGGAGGACAGGTGCACACCTCGGCCTGGTCTCTTCTGAGCCTCGCTCACACGGCTGAGGGGATCCAAGCAGACTTCAAGAGCTGCCTTCTCTGCCCCCATAACTCGGGGCTCCCACCACTCAGCCCTGCCTCCCCCAAGCCTCTGACGCACGCGGTCTCCGCCCCACAGTACTGCGCAGCCCTGGAGTCCCTCGTCAATGTCTCTGGCTGCAACGCCATCCAGAGGACCCAGCGGATGCTGAGCGGACTCTGCACAGACAAGGCTGTGGCCAAGGTAAGGCTCCCTCCCACATCTCAGCCCCACCCAGCACCCACTCCTGCCAGCCCTGGCTCACCTGGGTCCCCTGTGGCAGCAGGGGGGACACGGCCCCTGGGGATTTCTCAAAGCAAGGCTCCAGGGCCCCTACCTCCCCCCTGAGCCTCAGTTTCCACATCTGTGATGCAGCAGAAGTAACAGGACCCACCTCCTGGGCACTCTGGAGCGGGTTGAGGGACACAGCCCTGGTACCCACTAACGCGCCTCCTCTTCGTCCTGCAGCAGGTCACCAGCGTGCAAGCGCGAGACACCAAAATCGAACTGCTGCAGTTCCTGAAGGAGCTGCGCAGGCACCTGCAGATGCTGTACCGCCTGGGGAAGTTCCGCTGAAGCCCGCAGGTCGGCCCCCAGTGCCGCCAGCCGCTGAGTTCTCCTGGGGAATGGGGAAGGGGAGAGGGAAGGGGAAGATTTCCTTAGTTTAGACTTCATCTGTGCTGCCCACCCCTGCTCCTGGGGCCTGGGTTCAGCCCGCTGCGCCTCCTGTCCAGGGCTCTGAGCCTGGGGGACGAGGGTGCCTGCCACCCCTGCTCTAGGGGCCATGGCATCCCAGAGGGGGCACACGGGGTGGGAGAGGGACCTGCTTCACACAGGGCCCAGGGGCAGTGCAGCGCGGGCACTAGTCTCTTATTTATTATTGTATGTTATTTAAAGCGTCTGTCAGGCTGGGGCTGCCCAGAGCCGCGGGGCTCCAGTGCTAAGGCAGCAGGTGCCAGGAGTCCCTGCTAAGAAGTACTGTGCACAGAATTCTGCTACCTCATTGGTTCTGGGTCCTCCGGGCCTCAGCCAAGGCCAGGGACAGGAGAGGGCCAGGGAGCCACTCTTGTCGACAGCCAACAGCCTAGGAGTAATTTATTACAGTGTTTCCTCATATTTAAAGTATTCAGCATGTTAGCACAGAGTTCATAATATATACTGATGTGCAGCCTGGGACACGAGCGGGGCTGTGGATGGGGGGAAGGGCAATTCTGTCAAACTGGAATAAAGATGACGACAAAGAGACTGGATCCTCTTTTGGGTCTTTGGGGAGCTGGTCTGGGGTCTCCCAACTCTGAGGAGCTCTGCGGGAGGCAGGCTGGCTGAATAAGGGGCGGGGAGGGAGCCCCTCTTCGGGCTGCTGCCCATGGCAAGGAGGCGGGGGAGGAAGCCTGGGCCAGGATGGGAAGGCATCCCACCATCATGACCCTGACCAGCAGCCAGCTGTGTCGGTGGGCGCCGTATCTCCCTCACACTCTGGCAGTTACGGTTCACCCAGGGACACACAGCTGTTAAGAAGCAAAGCCAGGCTCTGGGCCCCGAACGCACTGCGACTCCGAAGCTTGTGCTCTCTCCAGTGGCCTGGATGCACTGTTCCCTTCCTTTACCGTCAGGGACTGGCTTATCCCCACTGACACGACAGGGAGCTCATCTAGCTCTGAGCCCCTCTCATTAGGGACTGCACTCACAGCACTGGACAGACACATGGCTCGGTCTGTGGCCTCTGTGCCGCAGGGCAGATGGGGAGCCTGGACCAGTGGGCTCAGCCCGCAGTGGGAGGGCTGAACCAGCAGGCCTCAGCATGGCATCCCTTGAATCTCTAAGAGGTACCAAAGGCAGAGATGGTTCCAGAAGGCTGGGGTGTCTTTGCAGAGGCAGTGGGTCTCCAGGCAGCTGTCCTGCTGGGAGCCCAAGGCACCAGTGGGAACACCCTGTGATGCTGAGAAGTCAATGTAGACAGCTAGTGCTCACGGCTGTATCACTCGGGCAAGAGTAGAAGACCTGGCAGCCAACGACTATGGGCAACTGCTCAGGGACTGCTCACGTCCACCGAGGAGTAGCCAGGCTGGATGGGGCAGGAGCCAGGGATGCCAGGCCCAGCGAGAAGCCTCGGGGAGGCACACAGGAACTGTGTCTCCATGGGCTGTGTAGGGCAGGGGACAGAACCAGCCTCTGGGTGCCAAGGGGATCAAAGAACCTGTGGAGTGCTTCTCCATCCGCTGAGGGTCACCTGAGGCTGGCACCACAATGGCCATCCAGGCACATTGACTCCAGGGTCACCACCAAAAAGAGTTTCGTTTTTATTAATGCAGGGTCCTTAGGAGGGAGGCCCACCCTCTGGAGGTGAGCAGGGGCTGACTTGCTGGGGGGATAGGAGAGGTTCGGAAGTTGGGGGAGAGAGTCAGGATCCCAGCAGCCTGCTCCATCCAGTCTAGGAGCTTTAAGCCTAAAGAATACTACAGAACAGTAATGATTTTTTAAGTAGAACTTAGTGATCTACCCTCCACTAGTGTCTTTTTTTGTTGAGAAGCAGAGACACAGAGTGAGCAAACTCCCGTCCACTGGTTCATTCCCCAGATGCCCATAATGGAACCGGAAACTCAATGCAAGTCTCGCTTGAGCCATCACCAGTGCCTCCCAGGGGCTGCATTAGCAGGAAACAAGTCAGGAAGCAGGGCAGAGTATGGGGCCCGGGCAGTCTAAAATGTGATGTGGGCGCCTTCACCACTGGGCCAAATGCCTCTCTGAACCAGGTCCATCCCACCCTACCAAAGCTTCGGCCTGTGTGTCCAACAGAGGATGGAGAGCCTTCCAGTGAAATGCCACGTGAATCCCCTGAGGACAGGCACCGGAACCGGGGGAGGTGTGTGTGTCAGAGGGTGGGGAGTGTGTGTGTGGTGGGGGCGGTGTCCCTTGGCAGGCCTCCACCCACACACCTGGAGGCCCAGCAGGCTGGTGCGGTGCCAAGCACAGGCTGTCCCGGACCCCACCACTAGGGGTCCACAGCTCGCCACATCCTCAGCCGCACACTGGCCCCTGTGCCTACACCTCAGAGACCGTCCCCCTTGGCAGTGTTGGGGGGGAACTGGAACAGGCACCAGGTCCTACAGGGATGAGGGACATGACACCTTACAGGGCCACAGAACCAAACTGCCACTGCTGGCAACGGGGGCGGGAAGTGATGGCCCAGCCAGGAATCAGAGATGGGGAGAGAGGGACGTGTCAGCTGTCACTGGCAGCACGGCCTCCTGGGGATGACCCTGGGGTATTTGCTGGGAGTTTTCTCTAACCACACGGCTGACTTTCCTGCATGAGGCAAGCCCCAAGTAGGACCCGGAGACGGGGGGCTGTTAAGAAGAGATGAGAGTGCCAGGAGAGACGGAGGGAGATACTGCTTGTGGGGCCCAGGGCGCAGGGGCCCCTCAGCTCCCCCAGAGCACCAGGCCCAGGAGGTTTCACTGGAAAAGGGGCTGGGGCGCAAATGAGAAGTGAGAGACACACACGAGTTTCCGGTGAACTTGGCGCCAAAGCCTGTGTTTGCAGCTAGAGGAGGTGTCAGCAAACAGCCCAGGTCACTTGGGGTTCTCCCAGGCCAGCCCCTGAGCTGCTCACAAGGAGAAGGCGGAGCCTGGGGGGACAGGCCTGCATCTCACCTCCCTGTGGCCCAGGCAGCAGCTTAGTACCGAGTCGGCAGGGACGCATCTTTGCAAGAGTTGGCTAACCGCGACCCGCCCAGAGCCTGCCCCTCTCCGGCTGACCCCCACCTTATCCAAGAGGGCCAGCGGCACTGCAGCAGGGGCCACACGGGCCCTTAGAGGTGCTCCTGGTTAGAGACTGGGGGCTGTGTCACCCACCGGCCACCTCCCACACATCAGACAGCCAGCCTCCCTATCTTCATTCATTTCTCGGCTCCACCCAGAAGCAGTGTGCAAATGGCGTGCAAAGAACTTTCCCAGATCAAGTGACTTCTCAGCAGCAAGGGAGGGCCCCACGACAAGCCATTCAAAATCCCAGAAGTGATTTTCTACTTACGACCTCACTTTCTGTTGCTCTCTCCTTCCCTCCACATGCCTTCTCTGTGGAAAGTCACCCTCTGAAACACCCCCAGCCCGTGCACTGCCTGGGCAGATGCTACTGTGTGGTCAGAGGTGACGCAGGCACCAGAATTAAATTTAGCAACTCTCGTCAGCTCTGTTCTCTGCCTCACGACGGCCGAGCTGCGGGGGCCGCACAGTTCTTCCCGAAACCCTTGCGGGGAAGAGGGCCTGAGCTGGCTGTGGTGGCCCTGCAGATCTGCAGTTCAAGACCCCGGCCCAGAGGAGCAGCAGTGACACCACACCGGCAAAGGCGCCTTCTCACTAACGGACTCCCACGGCTTCTACAATGAGTACACACTCATTCCCAATGCAGGATGAAGATAAATTTCAGAAGAGGCGAAAAGAACCTCAGATTGGTGTCTGGCCCCCAGGGGGAGCCGATCAGGACTGGGGTAGGTGAAGGGGCCCAGACCCTCAGCTCTCCCAGGGCATCAGAAGGGGGCCTGCAGAGGCCTGGGAGGCAACAGCCGATAGCCTGGGAAGCTCAACTGCCCGGCCGGCCGACCTGCGGCAGGGGCTGGGCCCTCTTGGGTCCCTCAGTGCTCACCATGCTGGAGAGGCTCGGGGTCTTCATCCAGCCCTGGCCCGCCAGGCTGACATAGGTGAGCTGGGAAGCAGGTGCCAGCCCTGCTGTCAGGCCGAGGTGACACCAACACCCCGGGGACAAATGCAGAGAGCTCCTGTGCACCCCTCAGCCGGCTCCCGCCTCTCCTGGGGAAAGCTAACCCAACAGCCATCACTCTTCACCACACTGCCCAGCAAGGCCGGTCCACACCCTGCCTGCCTGCGTTCCTGCCTCCTCTCCGTGATCTGCGCCTTTGGACACAGGCACAAAGAGCAGCCTGGGGCTGGGGGCAAAGGTGCCAGGGCCGCACAGCTCCGCGTCAGCCCCAGCGGAGTCCCCCACTTCCACGGCTATCACTCCAGCCAAGGGTCAGTCGCCCCCTGAGAACCGGAGCCACACTCACGCAGTCAGCGAGCGCAGCCTCTCTGTGGTTACTGCCTCTGGGGATCCAACGAGAGAGAAAATGCATGCATTTTAAATGGCACCTGAGCTGACCGTGTGCGTCCACTTTTCTGGTCATTGCTCCCTATGTACACCTATGTCAGGTAACTGACATCAGTATTACAAGTAATCTAGAGATGGTTTAAAGTATGTGGGAGAGAGCACGCATTTAGCCTACAGGTTGACACACCACTGAAGACACGTCCCACGGTGAAGTATCTAGATTTATACCTGGCTCTGGCTCCTGAGGCGGTAGTGGTGGTTCCAGTAATAGAGCTCCTGTCACCTATGTGGGAGACCTGGCTCCAACGTAAGCCTGGTGCAGTCTTGGTCATCGCAGGCTTCTAGGGGAGTGCATTAGTGAGTGGGTACAGTCTCAAGTTGGCTTGGCACGTGTCTAGGGCCACAAGTGCCACTGGGGCCGTGCAGCGGGCAGGGGCTGCTGCACCGAGGGGAGAATGGGGGAGGGCAAGGCTGTTCCCAGGGAGTGCAGGCTGCTCTGCCCAGCACCTGTGGCTGGAAGAGAGTGGGACAGGGGCAGGCGGAGACAGCAGGCCCTTGTGTCTGAGGATCTGAGATGGAGGGACGCCACCTGAGGTCCCTCCTGGCTGCAGGGGAGGAGTGGGAGGTGAGGGCCGAGGGGGGTGAGGAAGACAGGGAGTGTGAGAGCGAGACAGGCAGTGGTGCTCAGATGCTGGGGATGCATTTATGTGCCTGTGTTACATGTAGTTCTATTATATTTTTCTATGTCTACTTTACTTACTATTCACAAAATCTACAAATACAAAATTTATGTATGCGTATGTTATAGATAAATGCTAAATATGTTTTTAAATTTTCCATGCATTTAGAAGTTTTCTGACCTCTTATTATAGAAAATTTCAAACATATACAAGGATAACCCCCAGTTATCTACCGTCCAACTTCGAGAATTGGCAGTTGGGCCAGCACTGTGGCATGGAAGGTTAAGCCTCCACCTGCAGTGCCGGCGTCCTGTATGGGTGCCAGTTGGAGTTGTAGCTGATCCACCTTCCAATCTAACTCCCTGCTAATGTGCCTGGAAAAGCAGGAGAAGATGGCCCAAGTGCTTGGGCCTCTGCATCCATGCAGGAGACCCAGAAGAAGCTCCTGGCTCCCGGCTTTGGATTGGCGCAGCCCTGGCTGCTGTGGCCATTTGGGGAGTGAGCCAATGAATGAAGATCTCTCTCTCTCAATCCCCTTCTCTCTCTTTATCTCTGCCTTTCAAGTAAAATAAATCTTAAAAACAAAAAAACAAACAAACAAAAAAAAACTTGGCAATTCAAGGCCAGTTTTGTTCCATCTCTCCTCCCCCCAAGACATCTCGTCATTAGCTCCTAGGCCCTGTGTGGTGGGGGAGCTTTGGGGGTAATGGTATGGGACTGTTACATGAGGGAGTTGCCCTCTGCTGGGCTGGGGAGGCCCACCCCTGATAACACACACAGCAGCACAGCCTGCCTGTGACACAGGCTGTCTATGGGTTCCACTCCTTCCTGCCCACACTGCACTCAGAAGCTGTGGCAATTATGTCACCACTCACCAACCCACTGTTCCTACCTCGCACGCCTCTGCAGGGTGGCTGAGATGGCAGGTCCCTCCTGGTCCCTCTCCTCCCATGCTCCTTAGCAGTGAATTCTCCCCATGGCTCAGTCACTCTCTGTGCCCAGAGCCTGGGCCCACCATCAGCCTTGGGTCATCCTCTCTCTCCCCAAGGCCACCTCTGAGAATGGCAGCCCCCAAGTCAGGCCCGGGGCCATCTGCGACACCTCACTGCTCCTCACCCCAGGATCCACCAAACCTGACTCCGCTGGGAATAAGAGACACGACGAGGGCAGCAGACAGGTTTTCGAGGGCTACCACCTGCCAGGCCCCACGCCAAACACTGTGTTTATGACTCACACCCCTACCATCAGCTGTTTCATGGAGAAAACTGGGCAAGGTACCTTCCCCCAGGTCACTGAGAGAGGATGTGGCAGAGCTGGCACAGAGAACAAGCCAAAGCTGCTGACTCCTGGACACATGGTTCTAACCTGGATACTCTACTGCTGCCCAGTGGCTCTCAAACCCAAGCTCCCCTCTCCAGTCTCACCCCATCCACCTGACTTCCTCACTCTTGGGACAACTGCACAGTTCTAACTGGCTGCCCTGTCCATGTCCCCTCCCAGACTCCCTGGCGTCCCTGAGTTCCACCAGAGCCTCAGCAAGCCCCTGGCTTCAGCCCCCACAGGCCGCACCCTTCCCCTGGCACTTGTCCCCACCTGGCCAGCCCCCGCTCCATGCAGGAGCCTGGCTGGCCCAGCCTCTGCTTAGAAATCTCCCCCTTG